GCATTTCAACATATCTATTTTCGATTATGGTGATATGCTCCTCTATGATGTCCACACGAGCATTGAGGGAATCCGTATTTTGTTTTATCTCTTCCATTGTGTCTTTCATCTCTAATATTTCTTTTATTTTTCTACTGAGGAAGACTGGCCCTGAGCTAACATCCATGCCTATCTTCCTCTGCTTTATATGTGGGATGCCTACCACAGCACGACTTGCCAAGCGGTGCCATGTCCGCAGCTGGGATCCAAACCGGCAAACCCTGGGCTGCCGCAGTGTAATGTGCACACTTACCCGCTCCGCCACTGGGCCGGCCCCCATCTCTAATATTTCTGATTGATTCTTCTTTACAGTTGCAGTCACTTTTGTGAAGTAGCCTCTAAACTCATTGAATTGTTTCTCCACATTCTCTTTTACCTCATTGAGTTTTTTGAGGATAGCTATTTTGAATTCATTGTCGTTTAGCTTATATATTTCTGTGTCCTTAGGGCTGAGTTCTGGGGGCTTGCCGTTTTGTCTCCGGTCTGGAGATTTGATGTAGTGTCTGATGTTGGAAGGTCAGGGCTTTCTCATTCTGATAGTATTCGGTTGCAGTTACCACCTATTGCCATTGGGTGGGGGTTGAGAGCCTCGTATTCTGAGCCCTCCACCTTCAGCTGAGATCCCAGGGGCTGGAGCCACGCTGAGCGGGTCGGGGGAGGGGTGCTGTCTCCCGCATGCACTCTGGGATTTCTCGATCAGCTGTCGCTATCTGGTCTCCTGGTGTCTTGGCTTGATGAGGTCACCCCGTGTGAAGGCTTTCACCCCGTTAGAAGGCTTCCCTCTAGGCAGCAAGGGCCCGTGGGAGTCCTGGGTGATCCTCCAAATGAGCGACCCCTCGCCCGCTCCTTCCCTCATGGATCCGCCCGCAGCAGCAATCCCAGTCTTTGGGGGAGGGAGTGAAGTTCTCTCTTACACTGTTCCAGCTCCTCCAAGGGGAACTCCAGCCTCTCTGCACTCTGTCGTGTGGCTGCATGTCTCTCCGAGGTTTTCGTGTTGTTATGATGTCTTCTGTTGGAGTACGGATGTCACTTTTTGTTGTATGTTGGGGGGGGAGACAGTCCTGGGCAAGTTCACTCCACCATGGTGCTGTCATCACTCTCTCAACATAACTTTTATATGCACTGGGAAAACAAAAAATTCATGTGACTCACCTTATTGCAATATTTGCTTTCTTACCGTGGTCTGGAACTGAGCCCACAATATCTCCGAGTGATGCCTGTATTAAAAAATAACCAAGTCAGAGGACTGACACTACCTGACTTCAAAAATTACTATAAAGCTGAAGTGGTCAAACCAGTGTGGTACTGCAGAAAGAATCAACAAAAACATTAATGGAACAGAATAGAGAGCCCACAAATATTGTCAAATGATCTTTGACAAAGGAGCAAAGACAACGCAATGAAGAAAAGATAGTCTTTTTAACAATGGTGCTAGAAAAACTGAACAGCCACATGGAAAAAAATAAAGGTAGACACAGACCTTCTACTTCTCACAAATATCAACTCAAAGTGGATCATAAACTGAAAAATATGAAGCAAAAGTATAAAACTTCTAGGAGATAACACAGAAGGAAATCTAGGTGACCTTGAGTTTGGCAATGAGTTTTTAGGTAACACCAGAAGCACAATCCAAGAATGAACAAATTGATCAGTTTGAATTCATTAAAAGTAAAAACTGCTTTCTGAATGAATATCAAGAAAATGAAAAGACAAGCCACAGACTGAGAGAAAATATTTGTAAAAGACATCTGGTAGAGGAATTTTATCCAAAATATATAAGTAACTCTTAAAACTCAACAATAAGAAAATTAACAACCCAATAAAAAATGGGTGAAAGAGTTAGACACCTCACAAAAGAAGATATACTTATGGCAGTTAGGCATATGAAAAGAAGTCCAGCATCAGATATCATTACAGAATCGCAAATTATGAGATACCACTACACACCTATTAGAATGGCCAAAATCCAAAATACTGACAACACCTAATGCTGGTGAGGACATGGAGCAATGAGAACTGTCATTCATCGCTGGTGAAAATGCAAAATGATACATCCACTTCTGGAAGACAGTTTGGCAGTTTCTTATAAAGCTAACCACAGTCTCCACTATACAATCCAGCAATTGCACTCCTTGGTATTTACTCAGTTGATTTGAAAACTTCTGTCGGGGCCAGCCCGGCTGTGAGTGGTTAAGTGTGAGTGGCTAAGTTTGCGCACTCCGCTTCGGCAGCCCGGGGTTTCGCCGGTTCGGATCCTGGACGCAGACCTAGAACTGCTCATAGCAGAACTAGAAGGACCCACGACTAGAATATACAACTACGTACTGGGGGACTTTGCAGAGAAGAAGATAAAAAAAAAAAAAACATTCACAACAGACGGTAGCTCAGGGCCAATCTTTTTTAAAAAAGAAGAAGAAGACACGTCAATACAAAAGTCTGCACACAAAAAAATGTTTATAGTAGTTTTATCCATAATTGCAAACACTCAGAATCAAGCAAGATGTCTTTCAATAGATGAGTGGATAAACAAACTGTGTACATCCATACAATGGAATATTATTCAGTGATAAAAAGAAGTGAGCTATCAAGCCACAAAAGGACATGGAGAAAGCTTAAACGCGTATTCTAAGTGAAAGAAGCCAGTCTAAAAAAGCTACTTACTATACCACATTCTGGAAAAGGTAAAGCTATTGAGACAGTAAAAAGATGAGTGGCTGCCAGGAGTCCAGGAGGAGAAAACAAGAAGGGAGAGGTGGAATAGACAGAGCACAGGAGATTTTTAGGGTAGTAAAACTATTCTGTACAATAATGCAATGGTGCATTTTACACCACTATAATGACGGATATTACACCAGATGACATGATCCATGTGGCAAAACCCATAAAACTATACAACGCAAAGAGCGACCGGTAATGTAAACTACGGACTTTAGCTAGGAACAATGGATCATTTGTTAAGTGTACAAAATGTACCACACTAATGTAAGATGTTAATAGGAGAAACTGCGTGTGGGGTGGTGAGAGGGGGTCTATGGGAACTCTTTTTGTGCTTTCTGCTCATTCTGTAGGCCTAAAACTGCTCTAAAAAAGCCTACTAGAAAAAAATTGTTATTGCGCCCCTATGTCTCTAATTTGTGAAAAGTCTGAAGTGTGCACACATTAATTTTCAAAAACGGTTTACTCATGGAAATGCAAAAGTGATATAATAATTTTCTTATTTTGGGGTGTATGTGTTTTCACGTATTACTTGTGCAATTTTGAACAGCTGGCGTATTCTCTCTTCCCCCTCAACTCCCCGCCCCCATAAACCCTGCGGGTCACAGGTGTTACTCTTTTTCATTAATGTTGGCTCCATCCATTTTCTACTATTTGTTCTACCTCACAGCCGTAACCCTAAGGGACACTTGGGTGTACCCTTGCTTCTCCTGGCAGCTCGACTTTAAAAGGTGCACTTCTGGAGGGACGGGAAACTCCCTAACGTACCCCCCGTCTCCTCCCCGCACCCACCTCCACGTCTTCAAAACCTCAGAATAGCAGAAAGAGTAAAATGAGCATTATACACACGTATTACAGAGATTTAATGATTCTTAACCCTTGGCCATATTTGCTATCTCTAATTCGTTTGCTGAAGTTTTAAAAAGTAAATTCCAAATATATGATTTCATAATCGTAAATGTTTCAGTATGCATGTGTAAAACATAACAATTTCGTACCTCGTCCAAATATTATCACTAATCAAAGTAATGCTGATTATATATATTAACCATTAACCATATATGTATAATATTGCTTGCGTATATATAATAACCCTTAATATTTCCATAGCTAGTCCATGTTCATATCTCTCCAACTGCCTCCTTGCAGCTGTTGTTTTTTACAACCAGGATCCGATCGAGAACCACGCTTTGTCATAAATGTCGTAAAGCAAAAGTCTAACCCACAACCTCTAGGATTCAGGAAAAATCTCCAGCAGCAAGGTCCAATCGTCACGTCTTCCAACTCGCGAAAGCAGCAGTAACGCTTCCCAAACCACTTGCTGCTGTGTCAGGGTCTTATGGGAAATGTAGTCTTGGATGGTGCGGGCCCTCCGCGCAGCAGTCTGGGAAGGGTCCTCGGCGCTCACTCTGCGCACGCGCACACCCAGCGCCGCCCCGCCCTCCCCCGCCTCCCCGGGCGCGAGAGGGCCAGCGTCCGGACGTCTGTAGGTGTAGGCGGGAGCGGAGGCTGCCGCTCGGGGTGAGATCGCTGGGGACGGGCCTCCGCGCGGCTGGGGGCCTGCCGGGCCGGCTAGGCTCGCGTCCGGGGACGGGAGCGGGGTGCCCCGGAGGCGCCACCGGGCCCTGCCCTCCCCTAGCCCCGCGTCCCCGGCGGCCCCGGGGCGCGGGCTGGGGGCGGCGCCTCGGGCCGCTTCGCCGCCGTGGGCGTCGCTCTCGAGAGCTCGCGTCCTCCGCGCGCACACCTGCGGCGGCGGCGGCCTGCGGGGCCCGCGCGGTGGGCGCGGACGGGGCTCGCGGCGCGGGGCTCGGGCCGGGGCGGGGCTGAGGCAGCCGGAAGGGAGCTCGGCGTCTGTCCGGAGCCGCGGGCGGTGGAAGGCGGCGAATCGGCGTTGCCGCTGCCTCGCTTCGGGGCCTCCGGAGGCGCCTCGCCCTGTGGCCCTAGCCGGCGGCAGGGCCGGTGGTCGCGGGCGGCTGACGGCCGCGTGGCCGCCCAGGACGTTTCTGGCGAGTTCCGGAGGAGCCGGGCGTGGAGCGCTGGGTGACGCTTGGGATAAAGGGCACTGGCTCCGCGCCCCGGGTCCCAGCCCCTCGGGAGCAAAGGAGCTCTCTCACGGCAGGGGCGAGGGGGCCGCGGGGACAGCTGCCTCTGGGCAGAGCGGCCTTGCTGACGGAGCCCTGCGGGGCTTCGGAGCGGAGGCGGAAGGTTCCAGGCACGCGCGGGCCCGAGGCGCCCGGTCAGAAGCAGTTGTGGGTCCCTGTGTGGCGTGAGGCGGGCTCGAGGAGGTCCCCGCGCCCGGAAGCCGGCCCGGCCTGTGTGCGGTGGACGCTGTGGACCCGCCTGCGGAAGGCGGCGGCCTGGGGTGGCGGGGATGGGGGACTGTGAGGCTGCGCAGGAGCGGGCGGGTCGCTGACGGCTGGTGGGGACGTGGCGTCCGGGGAAGGCTAACCCGCGAGCGCGGGCGGGACCCCAAGCAGTCCCCTGTCTCCTCCGTTCTCCCCGCGCCCCCTGCGGATTCTGAGCTGCTGTCGCGCCTGTTCCTCACCACGTGTGGCATCTATGAGTGATGCCGATGCTGCCTCTTTCCTGAGCATAGAGAAAAACGAAATGGGAGGAGAGGGGTTTTCTGTGCTGGACGCTTTCGGAAGCCCAAAGACAGCAGGCCTGTAATGAACGGGGTTTGTCGAGTCACCCAGGGCAGACCCAGGAACTAAGCGCACAGCTGTTGACTTACACGGGTGAGTACTGTAAGCATCTGATCCGAAGATCTTTTTTAGGAACTGCAACCAATTGAGAACAGAAAGTTGCAAGAAATTTATTTCTTGTATGAAGCATCCGTTTTTATCTCGGAGTTTTCTGTGAAGCTCTAACTCAAGGTGTAAAGACAAGAACTTGGTTAATAATCCAGCCTGAGTAGTTGTTTTGGACAACGTTAGTTTTAATGAAGGTAGAGGGTTCCCCCCCCCCCCCCCCGGTGTTGCTGAATTTGTTTATTCCTCTGTTTCATGCTGCTGCTGCTGCTGCTGCTGCTGCTACTGCTAATTAGTCAGAAGAGGATAGACGTTAACTCATCAAGAAAAAGCAGTGTACCTTACTCAGTGAAAATGCAAGGTTAAGCCCAGAGAGTCATATCCGAGGTGCGCACGTTCAGGTGGTGCTCCCTCTGTGTCCCTTCCTCTCCCTTCTCCAGCGTGTGCAAGGGCTGTTTTCCCATAGGGAAGGCTTGTCTCCAGCTGGTATAAGGGGAGTTTTAGGCAGGTGAGTGTAGGAGTTGTAGGGCTGACCAGGTTTCTCATGACCCCATTTCTCTTTCCTCCTCCCCAGCTGAACCTTCACAGTTCTTTACCTTCTTCCAGGAGTAGCAGAAAATGAACATAGCTCAGGTGAGTTCAGTTTTTAATAGCTTGCTTGTGTTACAAGGGATTTTATAAGGGCTTACGTGTCTCTCCGTCAACATGGAAGAGTAGAAATAGAAATGGATCAGATGCATTCAGAGAAGACACAGAAATACAGTTGAAGAGCAGAGCAAAGGTGGCAGGTGGGTACATGCAGGTCCTCTGACATTGCAGATGTACTACGTTGGAGTTCCAGGTTTATTTCTGAGGTTTGTGATAGCCGTGGCAGGGTATCAGGCGTGATATTTCTTTCAAGGTTAACGTTGGTGAGAAGGTAAAGCAAACTGATTCCTCATAGACTATAAAGACAATTGAAGGTGAAGAATATCTTTGTTGTTTTCAACTACGTGATTTAGTTAACAGCTTCCAGTAGTAACCCTAAGATAACATAGGACGTTGCCTCCACTTGTGCTTCAGTAAAGGTAGAAGAGGTAACGCTGAAGTGAGCTCAGTCAGTACTGTTTTTCACAAACTCCAACACAGGGATTGCAGGAGACATTTTTCTGATGGACCAACTGACTATCCTTAAGATTACTCTCCATAAATATTTCGAGTACCCGTGATTTTCAGGACAGTTTAAAACGGTCAGCCCAGCAGACAGTTTAAAATTCTGTTCTCCTTCAAGTGTTTCAACACTTTCAGTCACGCTCTAAACCTTTTCATGAGGCCTTGGTCTCTCTCCCCACTTACCTGTGATCTCCAGTGACCAGAGACTCGATTATGATCAAATCCATTGGGTCTTGCCTGATCCTTTGCTTACTTGACTTTTCTGTAGCACTTGCCTCTACTTCTCACTCTGTCCTTCTGGAAAGTGTCTCTGTGAGTGTCTGTGACACCTTCCACTGGCTCTGTCCTTCTCCTGCTGATATCTTCATGGAGTCGTCGTCTTTCCCTTGTCCTTGCACATGGCTCATCCCCAGTTTCCCTCTTTGGCCCTTTAATCTCGTCTGTTGTCTTGGAATGATTTCATTTTCTCTCATTTTTTTCTTTAAACAGCTTTATTGAGATTCCGCTCACATACCATGCCATTCACCCATTTAAAATGTAGAATTCAATGATTTTTTTAGTGTACCCGTAGATATGTACAAACGGCACCACAGTGGATTTTAGAACATTTTCATCAACTTAAAAAGCAAGTCTGTACACTTTATCTTCTCCCATCATTCCATTCACCCCCAGGCCCCTCGACTTTCTGTCTCTGTAGATTTGCTGAACCAGTTCCTGTATTACTCCTCATAGGGCAGTTTTGCCTGTGACAAATTCTGTTTATCCGGGAAGGTTTTAATTTTTCCGCTTTTGCTGGGTGTAGAATTCTTGATTGACAACCTTTTTCTTTTAGCATTTTGACTGTGTTGTCGTCCCACTGCCTTCTGTCCTCCATGGTTTCTGGTTAGTAGTCAGCTTGTACAATCATACTATTGTACAGGATGAGTCACTTCTTTCTTGCTGCTTTCAAGATTGTGCCTTTTTCTCGTCTGGTAGTTTGATTAATCCTGTGTCCATGTGTGGATCTCTTACTCCAAGTTTATCCTACTTGAAGATTGTTGAGTTTCTTGGATGTGTAGATTAATGTTTTCCATCAAACTTGGAGACTTCTTGTTGATTATTTCTTCAAATATTCTTTCAGACCTTTTCTTTCCTCTCTGTCTGGGACTCTCATTACACGTACGTTTGTAGACTTGGGACCGTCTCCTAGTTCATTTTTTGCAGTTATTTTTTCTTTCTGTTTCTCACTCTGTAATTTCAGTGGACATATGTCCATTCATTCTCTTCCACCTGCTGAAATCTGCTCTTGAATCCCTCTAATGAAAGTTTTGTTTCAGTTGTACTTTTCAACTCTTTAAGTTTCTATTTGGTTCCTTTTTATAATTTCTATCTCTTTATTGATACTCTTTATTTAGTGAAATATTGTTCTCATACTTTCTTTGAGTCCTTAGACATTGTTTTCTCTAGGTCTTTGATGATATTTAAAATAGCTGATTTAAAGTCATTGCCCAGTAAGTCCAACATCTGCTTCCTCAGATGCAGGAATCGATTTCTGTTGATTACACTTTTTCCTACATAAGGGTCTTACTTTCTTGTTTCTTTCTTTGTTTAGCAATCTTTTGTTGATGATTGGACATTTTAAGTGCAACAATGCAGCAAGTCTAGAAATCAGAATTTCTCCCCTCCGTGGGGGTCACTGTTGAAATTTATTTGTTCACTGACTGTTTTTGAGCTAATGCCCTAGAGCCTGTGTTTCTTGTGATCTGTGGCAGTTGGAGTCCCTGTCCTTAAATGCCAGGAACCGGTAAGTCTCCAGGTCTTTGCTAAGGGGCTCTGTGCGTGTGAGGGCATTCCTGCAGCAGTCAGGCAGGCAGTTTACGACTCTGTGCTGGCCTTCACTCCCTTCTTAGCCCAAACCTCAAGGTCAGTTAGAGGTGACAGCGTAGTGCCTTCTCACATCTTTCCTGAGCATGCTCACAGCCCTGGGCATATGCACAGCTCTCCACATGAATGTGGCCTTCTAGATTCTCAGGAATATATTGGAGCTTTTAAAAATCTGTGTGGACATCTCATTCCCCAGCTTTTCCTTTTAAGCTTTTTGATTAGGGTATTGTTTGCCCCAACTGTTATCTACCTCCTCAGATAGCCACTAAGTTAAACAAGTGCCTTCAGATGTTTTTGACAAATGCCTCTGAGCATATGGCTTTTCATTCTCTGTGAGCTCTGAGTGAGCTCAAGTAAAGACACCTTTGCAAGTGGGGTCTTTCAAGGAATCACCAAACAGGCCAAATAATGAGTTTTCTGGGAGTGGGGCTTTGAGGGAACCTCACCCCAGCTCTTCTCCCTCCAGTAGTTGCCAGGCTGCTGGTTTTAACTGTGATGGCAGATTGTTGGTTCTCAAACCACCACAGAGTTGGAGAGCAAGGGATGGGAATAGGGTCAGTGAAAAGGATCCTCTATCACTGTTTTTACTCTGATTCAGCTGTTTTCCTTGAATACATGTCCCGTAGGTTGCTTTTGTTAACTTCTACAATTTTTGCCAGTTTGTTTATCGCTTTTATGAAAGAGAGAATTTTCTTGGATCCTTACCTCACCATTTTCACTTAGGTCACTTGTTAGCTTAATATTTTTTAATCCAGCTGATTTTTATTAAGCCAGATGTGAAAGACATTGGCACGAATGAAAACAATGCCACTTTTCCCACTAATTTTTTAGTTTTTGAAAATATAGTTAACTTTTCTTTACGTTTTTCAGATTAAGATAAATTTAGTGAGAGGTACTCCTGTTCTTTTGTTCATTTGTTTTGGTTACCAGCTACGAGCGCTGAGCTTCACGCAGAGGAGGTACTCGCTCAGTAGCACTGAAGACGTGAATGAACAGACAATTGGGTACACAGCACCAGGGAAAAAAGCTTGTTTCTGTCCTCTTTTCTCTTGGTCTACTTGCTTTCTTTTTATTTTTAATTGTGAAAAGAACACTTAACATGAGATCTGCCCTCTTGCAAATTGTTCAGAATTTTATGTGTGCATGATAGTATGGTTAACTGTAGGCATCATTTGTGCAGCAGATCTCTGGAACTTAATGACCTTGCATAGCCAAAACTGAAGGTGGGTACCTGTTGGACAGCGACTCCCCATTTCCTCCTCCTCCCAGCCCCTTTGAAGCCTTTGGTTGTGGAAACTTTCCCTTTGCTCAGTTTCAAGGACTCCTCCCTCTCCCGATCCTGTTGTTACTTTTCAGAAAACATCCTCTCTGGCTTTATGGCCTGTACTTTTTCTGCCAGCCTCTTTAATATTCGTGGCTCCTCAAATTCTGTTTTTGGTGCTTTTCTTTCCTCGGTCCCCATGTGCTCAAGTTGCTGTCTGATTGCCTCTGATAACTTGAGTTCCCACCTAAATTGCTAGTAATTCCTAAATGCTTGTCTTCATCCTAGACCTTCCTTTCTGTGTTCTAAAACCATATGTATACTAGTTTAAGGGGCATTTCCAATATTATGTTCCATAGACCTTTCAGTAGCAACCTCAGCAGATCCGTCTCACGATGACTTCTAACACATTTTTTTCCTTTTGTTTCCCAAATATCGGTGTTTGGCACCAGCATTCAAGGAGCTGCTCGTGCAGTTAGACTGGGTAGCTCCACAAGAAAGTAGTCATCAAACTGGTTGTTGCTTCTGCTCTGTGATTATACCCCTATCCTTATATCCATTCCTGTCCCGTCAGTGTAGATAGTGTTCTCTTCTACTGGTCTCTTTGATTTCAACTCCTTGGTAAGTTGTTCTTCGTTCTTCATGAGCTCTAGATTTATTTATCTTTATACATTTACTTATACATAAGTTTGGTCATGTATAATGTCTCCACAACTTACATAGATCTCTTCCTTGGCCCCCATTATTTGCAGTGATAATGTCCAAGGAGAGACTGACTATCCTAGAAGTCTCTAGAATACCCAGGGCAATTCCTTGGGATGTGGAAGAGTTGTAGGAAGTCGCTTTACATTGAATTTTTTTCTGTAACAAACCCCTATAATTCATAAATATGTGTAAATGAATTATGGTTAGTTAAAAACCTTTTTAACTAGTTGAGCAATTTGAAGTTGGCGACAAAATTAGGTCAAAAATTGGCATCTTTTGTAGCCATTTGTTTTAGAGCCTTAAGAGTAAATAGGAATGGTAGTGGTTCTCAAAGGTCTTTTCTTTGTCACGTAATTCTGAACCTTTGCACAAAATGTGCTGTTATAGGGATTGGTGTCGTTCGAAGACGTGACTGTGGAGTTCACCCAGGAGGAGTGGCGGCAGATGGACTCCACACAGAGGGCCCTGTACAAAGATGTGATGCTGGAGAACTACGGCCACCTGGTCTCCATGGGTGAGCAGCCCTTACCATGTGACTCCCTCTGGATTACATTTCCTTTTTTTGAAATCACCACGCGTGAACCCTCACTAGAGATTAGTGTTGTTCAGGCTTCTTATTAAGAGGTTGAAGGAAACTGAAACCTTTAGAGAAACAGAAACAATGTTTGTGTCATTACTTCCGCGTTGAAAACTTCAAATGAGCACCTTCATTTCGCTGCTCTTGCCACCGTCTCTTTCTCCACCTTTGGAAACCCAAAGGCCCATGGATCTGGTCTGGATATACCCTCAATTGTTATGTTCACAGGATACTGCAGTACTAAACCCCGGGTGATTTTCAAGTTGGAGCAAGGAGAAGAGCCCTGGTCCTTAGAGGAAGAATTCCTAAACCAGAGGTACCCAGGTGAGTGAGCCCTGACAGAAACACCTGGGGTAGTTAGACCTTAGAGGGGAACACTTTCGAAAGTTTTTTTTTTTTCCCCCTTTTACACAGCTTTATTGAGATAGAATTTGCATGCCATACATGTCACCCATCTAAAGTACACAATTCAGTGGCTTTTAATATTATTCACAGCTAGGTGTAAACATCACCACAGTCAATTTTCATCACCGCAAAAAGAAACCCCATACCCTTTACCTATCACCTCCCTATCCCCCAGTCCCCTCCAGCCCTGGCAACCACTAGTCACTTTCTGTCTCTATAGATTTGCCTAATCTGGACATTTCATATCAGTGGAATCACAACATTATGTAGGGTCTTTTGTGATTGGTTTCTTTCACTTAGGATTAAGGTTCCTGTTGTGGCATGTATCAGTACTTCATCCTTTTTATGGCAAAATAATATTTCCTTGTGTGGATGTATCACATTTGTGTGTCCATTCATCAGTCAGTGGACATTTGGGATTCCACCTTTGGGCTGTCATTGAGTAATGCTGATATACACATTCATTTACAAATTTTTGCATGGACGTGTGCTTTTATTGCTCTTGAGTTTCTATCTAGGAGTGGAATTGCTGAGTTATATGGATACTCTGTTTGAGGAACTGCCAGACCATTTTCCAAAGTGACTGCACCATTTTACATTCCTGATGACGGCGTAGGAGGGTTCTGATTTCTCCACGTCTTCACCAACACTTGTGATTGTATGACTTTTTGATTCTTGCCGTCCTAGAGGATGTGAAGTGGCTTATCACTGAGGTTTTGATTTGCATTTCGGTTTTAGTTAGCTGGACTGGCATAACAAAATACCGTAGCCTGGGTGACTTAAACAACAGAAATTTATTTCTCACGGTTCTGGAGGCTGGAAGTCCAAGATGAAGGTACCAGCAGGGTTGATTTCTGGTGAGGCCTCTCTTCCTGGCTGCCTTCTCACTGTGTCCTCACTGGCCTTTCCTCTGTGCATGTGTGGGGAGAGACAGCTCTCATCTCTCTTCCTCTTCTTATAAGGACACCAGTCCTATAGAATTAGGGCCCCACCCTCGTGACTTCATTTAATCTTAATTACCTCCCTAAAGATCTTATCTCCAAGTACAGGTACACTGGGGGCTAGGGCTTCACCATATGGATCTGGGGGGAGACACGATTCAGTCTGTAACAATTTCCCTGATCACGAATGATGTCGGGCATCTTTTCATGTGCTTATTACTTATTAGCCTTTGTCTAAACTAATAATTCCAGGAATTTGAGAAGTTATAGGTTCAATATAATTCCTAGAGCAAAAAAGTAAAATCGTCTGAAGTCATTGTGTTTACTGAAAGTTTTGTTGTGAAGCCATGTAAACAGATAGCATAATGTAACAGGTTGACGTAATTTAGGTCGGGTGTATCTCCCAATTGCTAAGTGCAAATGATTGGATCATATTGATTGGCTAAAGAAGATATCCCGAAATAAGGATCTTAGGAAGTTTGTAATAAAAGAATAGTAAAGTTATTAAGTCAGTAAAAATAGAATAATTCAGGGTTTCGTGTTCCGTTATTATTCAGGTTTGAATTTTGGCAGTAAATACATTAATAAAGATCCTCTAGCTCAAGAGCACAGCTGAAGTAAACCTTTAAGCATTTGAATGACTGCACCAAACAATATGATATCAAGGATCTTAGCACACAAAATAAGGAAGTTCTAGGAACTTAATGATTCACTAGGATCAGGAGGTCATAAAACACTGCATCTTATTAAATAATAGGTACTGTGGACATTAAAGAAGTATTATGCCTGTCTAGGATATACGTGATATTTGTACTAAAGTGAATCATGTATTTGTGCGTGTATATGCTGAAATCAAAGAGTAAGCCTTCCATGGTCCCATGGAAGAATCTTAAAATTGTGAAAATAATAGTGTTAATCTAAAAAGAGAGCACCAATAAATCCAACAAATTAGAGTCACCACAAATAACATTCCCTCAACACAATTTGGTAAATCTAGAAATTAATGATAAAATGGGTAAACAAAAACACTCTTTCAACATGGAAATTTTAAAAATTACCTCCTTTAAACAATGTCTGAGATAGGAAACCGAAACTAAAATTGTATGAGATTTACAAGATAAAAAAAGAAGGTGCATATTAGAAACCATAGGCTATAGCAAAATGAGTGAACAGAGGTAAATGTGTAGTCTTATATTTATATTAATAAATTACGCAAGAGCACTAAGGAATGTACTAATGAAAGCAGAAGAACTTGAAAGTGCAATTAAAAGTTAATAAACTAAAAAAACTGAGAACTTGTAGAATGTTTCTTTGAATAAAAAACAATAAAGTGGATGAAACTTTAACCCTAACAAAGACAAAAGAAAAGAAGTGCTTATATAATAAATTCAAGTGGGGATGTGTTTGTAAAGACCTAATGCCATAGCCGAGTAAGTCCGTTCCTGAGAGCCATGTGGGAGGACCTGCTCTACTAGATAGCAGGGCTTTAGGTGAAGCTCCCAGTAGTTCAGTAGCATGGAGCTGGGGCTGGGATGGTTTAACAAATGAGTGAAAGAGAAAAGAAAGCTCAAGAAAATACATGCTTTATAGACAGTCGGTCTTTGACAGGCAGCACTGTCCCCACAGAACAGTGGGGAAAGAATCCTGAGGTAACCTTTTGGATTAAAACAAAAAGTCGGAGTCAGGTTGCTTACAGACCTGATTATCAAAGCAAAACTAGAAACATTGTATGTGGTGATAAGGAGAATATGTTCACGACT